CTTCGGTGCGGCCTTGTTACTTAACTTTCCTTTATGTTCAATAACTTGGAGCCCAAGCCCTTCCAGGGCTTGGAAAGGCTTAGCGTCTTAGCGTGCTTTCTCATGCTTTCTCCTATCCAGTTCTTACTTAATTACATTACCTGACTCATCCTGAATCTACCTCCCTCACTCAATCCCTTGTGTTCTTCTCCGTCCTTCTTCGCAAATGCATGCAAATGCCACACAAGATGTCCAGTTTGTGGGCATATTTAGATCTTTGGCCACATGCGCGATTGAAAAAGGTGTTGGTTTCTTGGAGCTTGCCGGTCTTCCCTCATGTTCATTCACCGGATCGACACCATTCCCGTGAATCCAACGAATCCATTTGGATGCCTTGGGGCGGAATCGGTGGCTACGATCGCCATACATCGTACGATATCGTACACCTGATATCGTGCGCAAAATCCATGGCTCACCAGGCGGAAAGGCGAAGCCAACGGGACGAGATCTTGCTTGGAGCCCCAGAGAGCGGTCGGGTCGTAGGGATTCAAACTTCTCCACTTTCCGGAATGCACTCCGCAGAGGAAACGACCCTCGCCCCCTTAAAAGAGGATCATTTTGGTATCCACGGATTTGGATTCTGATTGATGGATGTGAATTATGTCGCTCAACCGAAGCTGACAAAGTGCCAAAGATATGCTCCATTTAAGGGGGCAATGTCTGCCAGCTTGGCAGACAGGGCGATTCTTTTGTTTAAGTCTTTCACCTGCGTATTTCTTCCGCTTCTGTCAGCTCATGCCTGTCTCCGCCGCCTGATGACATCGACGCACCACCCACGGTCGGATCTTCACTTCCCAAGCCTCGCTCAGACTGGCAGACTTCCGCTGGGAGCAGTCGCCCCGGGTAGTCAGAGGTCGATCCTCGAGGTCTCAGGGCGCCTCTGCCGAGGCGTCCGACCGCACGTCACCCCGACCGTCAGTCAGGCCTCTTAGATTGGATGGTTCATCAGTGGAAGTGAAGGTTCTGGCACCAGTCCTTGGCAAGGTGGCCAACCGACGTGGCATTTGCAACTGCTAAGTCGTTTGCAAGAAAGAACGGCAAGCGACATGGCATCATCCTCCAGATCGGATGATGCCAGTTGCTGGAGAGACATTTGCCATGATTGGGCAGAAGAACGACTCCAGTGGCTTTTCAGTGGGGAACATGTAGATCGCAAGGCTGAAACTCAAAGGAATTGATGGAAGGGCGCCACCAGGAGTAGAGCCTGCGGGGACACTTACCAGGTCCAGACATAGTAAGATATACATAGATATACTGTATACTTATACATTTGCAGCGCATGAGGTAACATGGAACATGAGGAACATGTTCTGTCTACATGTACATGTTTCTACTGTAAATCATGAGGTGCCTCGAGTGCATATGCAATGTATTTTAAATGACGAGGTAGCAGGTGGCGTAGTCATAGTCTGGCAACTGCTCAGCAGACAAACCGACTTGGATGGCCGAGCATGCACCATTTGCTTGAATGGGTGTGGGCTGAAAGCTATAACAAAGGGCAATTGACGGAGTCCTGTAATATACCTGGGGGTGTTCATCATGGATCTCTCCCTTTTTGGGTAGTTGTGGGAGTGTTTGGTGTTGCAGTGGTCATCTGCGTCACTGCTGGGAAAGGGTGTCAAAGCCAGGTGGCTCTGAGGAATGGGATTGATGCCTCGTATCCAACGAGAGGCCCGCAGTGGAGCATGACATGCTCAGTACATACATCTCGTCACAGTGTCAGCTGGAGCTTGGACCAGGGCACAGCATTGCACAGCTATTCTAGCTGCAGGATGCTACTAGCAGGTGTCCAATTCGTCATGACTCCTGCCATCATCCAGCAGCCAACTATATACATGGAACTATATCCTCGTGTGGAACCATGGTGAACCCTCTTCTCACCGCTACGCCCCCTCCACCCGCACTCCATCCGATGCCGTGCCTTTAGGGGTCGGATCTGGTTCTCAGGTGGCGAAGACTCCGACCTCCCTTCGAGTGCCACGGCAGAGCTCCCGCGCCTTCCGAGGATGCACCAAGACCGAAAACGCAGAAAGAGCCCAAACCACGCGCCGGTCGTGCCGTTGAAGCCCATTTGCGCTTCGTCATGTCAGGAGCCCAGCAGGAAGCAGATCCTTGGCTGAGAGACCCGTCGCTTTTCGTGACGCACCTAGTTGCAGCTCAGAGACCAATCGGACCATCCGCTCTTTACACAATTCCACTTTGGTACCATTGGTCATCCTCCATGCGCGTAAGAATAAAAGGAACAAGTATAGTTATAGTTAAAAACATTGATATGTAAATTATCAAGGCCATCAAACAGTAGAAATTTGTTCTTCCTCGGGGGTCCATATCAACAAAGTACAAGTTACAAATTAAATATATACTGTGATAGCAATAGAATATTCAGCTCGACTCATCATCTGCTTTCAGAGCAATTCGGTTCGAACTGGTGACCCCTTTTGGCATCCTTTTGGCGTCCTTTCACAGGGCAGTGAGAGAAAGTACAGATATATAAAAGAAGTGTAACAGATAGAGCATGATAGAGCAAACTATGGGTTGCACTTCGTGTTCCTTCTGACTGCTAGAAAGAATTCATGTGTGGCTTCATCTGTCGTCGCGCCGAAGTGACGACGTGAACGTGTTCGTTACCTGACCACTTTGGAGTGTCACAAAGGCTCAGGCTAAAGAACACACCAAGTAACATGTGGGCCAGCATGGGTGGAAGAATAGCAGCTCTTGCAGGGTTCATCGTGGGCCAGTAGATGTTCCAAGAGTTGTGACATGCTGGTTGTTCCTGACAAAAAACGCTCTTGGCGAGTTTTGCTTGTTCATAATTTGATACTAACTCCTATCTAACAAATTCATATCAAGTAGCAATCATGATTTATATGTGATACTGATTGAGACTCGGTTTTTCAAGTGCAACACAGGCCGATTCGAGCGTTGGAACGCCCAAATGCGGGGGCCTCCCTTCAGTACCGACGTCCGAGGCCTCAACGGGTCATTTGAGCCCACCGTCCGTTTGGGGCCCAGACGTCGTCAGGGGCGAAGAACCACGCGTTTGCATATTAGGTCGGAAGAGCATGGCAAAAGGTGGACAGAGACATACCTCGGAAACCTTGAGGTTTGCATTGGAAGACTACACTTTCCGTTGGAAACAGGTGGTTTTCCACTTCCATGTTAGTGAGTCGGAGTGTATCCTTTTGTGTTAAGTATGTCATAAGTTCCTGAAGTGTTTGCTGACATAGCAAATGCAGCCGCTAAGACCTCAGCCGAACAAACCAACACCGCCATGCGAAACATGTCGACCATGCACCAGTTGCGAAGAAGGGCGGGGGCGCAGCATGCTGCGCCTGTGTGGCAGCTCTGATGCGTTCTTTTCACACGGTCGTTTGAGGTTCGCTGACTGACGACTATCCTCAAGCACCAATTTCTCACCAATGGCCATCCTCAAAGAAAACCCGTTCGGCCCGAGTGGGACATTCTCCCCCTGAGCTGGACATGCGAAAAGGGGGTTCCTACGGGATTTTGGGACCTCCGCCACCTTTATTGAGGGACTGGAATCCTTCTTGCATGAAGTCAGGAAACCTTGTGCATTGCGGACCTTGGTGAACTGGAGATGACCAGACAATCGAAAAGATATAGAGTCTTTTCCGTGTCATGTGGTCCTTGTCGTGTTCTTTCGACCTTTTCATGACTGGACTCGAACAACCCTAGCCGAGCAGCCGAGCAGCCGTTCTTCCCAAGGCCTTTGGAACGGCCCGCTCCAACCATCCGCGGGAGATGCCGCGAGGCGCCGAGTCCCGCGGACGCGGAACATGAAGGACAGAGAGGTATGTCAAGGTCAGTTTGATCGATCAAGTCGTCATGGGGACAGAGATGGCCGTGCTTGGTCCGATTTTCAACATTTGGGTTTATCATCTGATAAGTGTACAGAATATGACACAATTCATGTGGACGAGGGACGTGTTGCTTGAGTGCCACGGAGATTTGAACTTACTGGTGACTGAGTGAAACTTTATTATTGAAATGGTACGTATACCGGCTTGTGTAGTCTACTCTGGAAACTGCTGTGCTCAAGTCAGTAGGATTCTGGGGTGGCCCAGTTCCAATTCTGACTGGCGAACCCTAAGTTTTGACGAATCAGATAATCAGATTCTCTCTCTCTCTATATATATATATATTACACATTATTACACATATTTATATCAGTCATAATTCTTTAGATTTGCTGATGGAGTGATTTGCTGTTCTCACCCCAACAACACCACTGATGCAATTCAGCGCCCTACATTTGCCCATCCAAGGGATCCCCTCACCTCCATCCTCACATCCCCTGGTGCCCTTCTCGCGCTGACAGACAACTTCAAGCTCACGTCCAAGCCGGGCAGCGACCGACGTTCCTCCTCCTTCCTGCTACTTCGCCCGCATGGGGGTGACGCAGGCTTCTTCGGCACGAGAGCCGAGGTCGAAAGAAAACAGCAAAGCGTAAGGTGCTGCAGCACAGCAGCACGGGGGGCTGATGACATTAGTAAGACCTAGGCTGATGGCTAGGGATTGCAGCGTAAGCTCAGACCTAGGCTGATGCCATCGACCTGCCCTTTCTTTCTGTATATACGTGTTTCGCCCCGGAGCCTCCGGTCGGACCACCGACTCGGCGCTTTCGCCGCCGTGTTCGGCGGCCGACTCGCTATCGCTCACCGAGGATGGTTTGCCCCGCTCGCTATCGCTCACCTCAGAGGGCATGGAGAAGGTGGCTCCTGAGGATCACGTGCGCCTCGGCGACCGGTCGACCGGTCATTCGGAGCCACACGGAGCCACACGGCGCCATTGGCACCGCGATTAAGCCGAGTTGACGGAGCGCCGTTTGGCTCCAAGAGGACTCGAGGCTCACGTGCGGGGGTTCTATGGGTTTCGATGTATATTTCTTACATGCATGTAGTCAGTCATATTGTGTTGATGTGTAAATGATTTGGGATGTTTGTCTATCCTGATCCAGAGATTGCTTGCATGTGTTCCTGCTGTTTCGGCAGATGTCCGAAACAAGAGGCTCCCGGCCCGCCCGCTGCCCGAATGCCAAAGGCTGCAAGGTGATGGAAGCCATCGACAGCGAGATCGGCTGATGGCTGGAGCACAAAGATGCTCTAGATTTCAGGTGCTCTTGTGTTTGCTGATCACGCTTGCCATCGTTCCACTTGGAATTTTCTGGTCCATGACCAGAACCGGCATGGCGAAACTGACTCGCATAGCGGACACCGACGCAGGGGCTAGCAGTGTGGCTGATGCGGACTGGACACTGAACCCGACACATTTCTCTCAGTCGGACCGGCCATTTTTCTTATTATGGAGCCACGATTTTGACCTTCGAGATGACACGAATTTTATTTTGGACTTTGCTGCAGGGTTGACGTTGCTGGATCACCGGGTGGTGTTGGAAAGCCCCGTGGATGGAGAAGCATTGAAGAATTTGGATCCAAAACACGACTTTGGTGCAAGGGTCAATCATCGTCTGAAGAAGATCCTAACAGGCCAGAAGAGCAACTTGTGGGATGTGATGCTTGATGCCGAGCTTCCTCATTGTATCATTTTCTTCTCCAGTGCATGGATCCCATTCTTCCTTCAGCTTTCACAAGAGCATCCAGGTGTTCAATTGGTGTGGTACTTCTACCGTCCACACATGTGCGGCCTCACTTCTCAGACTCAAACGGAGAGGAGTCAGATAGGAGAAGGTATGGCCAAGGCTGATTGGGTGGTGTTTTTGAATCAGGAGGATCAATTAGATTGGTCACATGATAAGCTTGGTAACTACCGAGTCTTTCACCCATTCATGCCAACAACGCTTGAACCGGCAGATGTGAGAGATGTGAGGCGAAATGAACTCAGGCAAGAGCAGGGTTTGAAGCCCGAGGTGTTCTTGATAAGCATTGCTTTAGACTGTCCAATTCCAGAGGAGGAAGTGGATGTGTTTTCCACTGGCATCAGCAAGATGTTGACTGAGAAGTTTGGATCTTCGTGGTTTGTGATGGTCTTTGGGGAAGGAAAGGCTGAAAAGGCCAACTTTCTTTCAAAGGATCCAAGGGAAGTTGTGAAGTACTTGGCTGCAGTGGACCTTCACATCAGCCTGACACGGTCGGCTTTGGCACTTGACTCGCTGTACGCCCGAGCCTTGGGTGTCTCCGTCCTCATGCGTGACACGTGGGACACATCCGAAGCTGGGGAGCCGCGCACAGTCCGCTTGCCGCGCACAGTGACGCAAGAAACGCTGGAGAAGAGCTTGGCAGAGATCCTCAACTTGACTGATCGTGACTCGACCTGATGTTCTGCCTTTCATAGTCATCGCCACCCTGATATGGTAGCAATTTACAATATGACCTCTTTGACATTCGTTCGCCCGGAGACTATATCGAAACTCGATTCGATGAGTTTCCATCAAACGAGGTCGAAACGCATGTCGCATGCCACGCATGTCATTCTGTTCATGAAGAACGAGTTCTTGTTAAGTGACCCGTGCGGCCCTGCCCCCTGCGGTGCGTCGTCGCACGAGTCCTTTCGAGGTGAGCTGAACTCCGTTCGAACCCAAGATCGCTTGGCCGTGCAAACGCGGTCCGGCGAGACCGCGGCGGTACGTGTGGCACTCATGTCGAGGATGTTGCTGGAGTCCCGCGAGCCGGTCGAGAGGGGGTTAAGGATTGGCATCTACATCCAGCTACTGGGTGGTGGTTTGGAAGATGATTTTTTGATGTTTGTGCACCAGAATCCCCCAAAAAATGAGGTTATCAAGGGTTTTCCCGATTGACCCATTTGATTCAATACGTTAATACATATATAATCTTACATAGTTTTGATGACCAAGGCTATCAAATCTGGGACTTTGGAAGCGGCTAAAGGCGTGTGTTCTAACCATTTTGGAGGCGACGATGGACGAGAACGCTCCCAACAGTACACGAAAGAGCACGGTGGATGTGATTCTTACAGTGACTGAAGAGCATAAATTCCTGCGGTTCTTTCTGCCAGCCTTGAGGCAGGCAGCACCACCGTCGTCAAGCTTGCGGCTCACGGCTTTGTCCTTTGCTGAAGCGCGTAGCGCTGACAATGGCCTTTTTCTTCAGCAACTGCTGCTTGCACGAGACTTGCAAGTCGATCACGATCTAATTTTGAAGCTGCACAGCAAAGAGGAGCCACGCCTCAGGGAGATGATCTTGGGCGATCTTTGCGGAAGTGTTGAAGGTGTCCGTGCGGCCCTTGAGCAGTTCCAGAAAGACCAGAGACTTGGTATGATCGGTCCAACCAGCTTAACCTGGACCAAAGAGGGGTCAACAAAGCATGTAGCATTCAATCTCGCCACATCTGGCTTTGGCAAGACTGTGGTGAAGCGGTTCCAAAATGCTTGGTCCCTGCTGAGCCCTCGAAAGCTTCCCCATTCAAAAAAGTGGACGATAGTTGCTGGATCTATGTACTGGGTGAGGGCGGGCCTTCTGCTATGGAACAACAATTTGCCCTCAAGTCGTATTCCCAAATTCTTGGACGCCTGCCCTGAACCAGCATGCTCAGCCGGACTTGAACGACTCTTCCCCACCTTCATCGCCGACACGAAGCACCGGGTTGTTGCTTTGAGCACTACGTGATTCCACTGAGTTGGGCCACGGACCTCCTCGGAAGCCCGCGGCGCTACCGACCTGATTCGACCGGTCGGTCCGTTTTGGACCCGGCATCCAAAAATGCCAAATGTGATGTGCGAAAGCTCCTGAAAGCTCCCGAAAGCCCTGAATGGACCAGAAAACGTAGGCCGAACCATACTGGTGCAAACCACTCTAGCGCTCAAGGGCCCTGTTTGCGCTCCATGTTGCCATGTTAGTTGGTGGGGCGACGTTTGGCGAAGCCTTGCCCCTTGCCCCCAAGCGCTCCACGGATCAGGAAAACCCTTCAGATTATGATGGTAGAACGGTGGGCATCGTTTGCTTCATCTCACTGCATGTTCCCTTCTCTTCCTTCTTTGCATTTCTTTGCTAATTCTATTTATGGGCCAATTAGGATGACGGAATTATCCTATCCTATAAAATCCGGTTCAAGTCTGCTAAAATTCATGGTGGTTTGGAGACCCAGGAAGTGGGTTCCTTTGGATTGGATCGATGGCTACCAGAGTTCTTTCGCTCTTGCAGAGTTCGCTACCAGCCAACTCGACCACCACCCCACCTGGTTCGGCCATGTTCGGCCTCCAAAGCCAGTTTCAGAGGGGCATCAAACGAGGCGATCTCAGGTGAGAGAACAGGGCGAAAAGGTGAAAGCCATGCATTCATCCGCTGCGTGTTCCGTTGTCCTTTTGGTGTTCGAACCAACTTTTGAAGGTAGAAAGTTCCAAGAAGCAACGTGTGATCCTGTGCAGGGATGCATTTTTGTGGGGTTGCTCCTTTCGTAGCACCTGCAGGGCTGAAAGAGCAAAAACACAGATTATATCAAATTACAACTTTAAGCCACTCACAGTCTTTTGGACAACGTGTCGCAACCATAGAATTACAAGATTCAAAGTCGGGCTTTAAACACTTTCAGTGGTTGGTTTGTCGACGCTCTAACATATCGGACCCCTCTCAAACACTGCAGTTCCGACCCGAGGTGGTATCTTGGGAGAACCCGCCTCCGGCTCTGAGACGTATCGAGGGCCTCTTGGCGAGGAGTGAGAACGACCGAGCGAGGTATCGCGTCGCCCGCGGTAGACGGCGTCGCCTTCCCACGTTTTGACCCAAGTGAAACCGGGTCCAAGTGAAACTGAGTAGAGCTTATTGTTAGTAGTATGGCCAGGAGCGCCCCGGACTCGTCGCGTCCGATCGCGAACGGGACTCGTAGCGATGCGGCGATGCCCTTGTTCCATTCGTAGCTTCTTGTTACTAGTGTTTGTATGATTCTTCGAAACATTCCAGGAACATGAAGTCAAACTGACCTGAGTCAATGGAAATGGGGTGAGTGAATGATGGAATGTATGTGACTATTCCTGTCCCGTGGATGGTTCTGTTTCGTGTTGGATGGGTATATGGGTGGAGCGCGTGGCTCAAGACATTCGGTGTTTGGAGCTTTGGTGAGCTGCGAAGCAGCGGGGGCCTTCGGAGATGGCCTGTCGTGATGGTCAATCCTCCGGTAACTCGATCGCAGACACAGAGCAGGTTCTTGCTGAGGCGCATGGGCCAGTGGAAGAGTTCCAGAAGGTGCAAGTGGAGCAGTCAGAGCTCTTAGAGCTCTTGCGTAGCGCAGGTTTGGAGGAATGGTACTCCAAGTTCCTCTCGTTCGGCTATGAGACGGTGGAAGATGTGCGCCGCATGGATGAGCATTGCATCCAGGAGATAGGGCTACATGGTGAGCACCGCACCGCATCTGTTTGGAAGGTGTTTTGCCAAACGAATTGGTGACACCGGAACTGCAGCCGGGCGCGCCGATGGACCCTCGCTCCCCACATGCCAAACAGTGCCAAGAGGGGAACTGTGAGCAGATTGCCGGATCCAAATGTCGTAAATGTAACAAGCTTTTGTGCCTAGCCCATGCCAGGAGCATCGAAAAGAGAGACCAGAGAGACAGGACTGTCACCAAGAACATTCCTGCTTGCTTAGCATGCAAAACCCAGCAGGAGGAAGTGGAACGGTCCAACCGTCGCATGTTGTGGGCATGCCTTTGTCCTTTTGCCATAGGCGCTGTACTCGCAAGCAAGCATGGCACGGGCTTGACATGCAGGACGCAAACTTATGGGAGAGCACCATTTTCAACTATAATTTGATGACTTGGTGCAAGTGTACAGAGGTGGAGTTTGATGTCAACCACCATTTGAAGTGCCAACCAATCACTCTCGCAAGTGGTCTTCTGACTCCCTGCGAAGCACTTTGCATAGATTTTCTTGAAGTGGTTTGCTCGGATGTGCAGAAGCATCACTTTTGCACCTTGGGGCAGGTCTTCGTCTCAAAAGGATTCGGAGCCTCCGTATAGGCATTTTGCGGGAAATGTTGAGCAGCAGAGTTGGAGGGTGCCCTTGCACCTGAACTACCTGCTCAATCAGAGAGCATTTGTTTTTTGAACACGTTCCAGTTCATGTGCAATGTGCAAAGTGCCGGATCATTATCATGCTCAAACAAACCATTGTCAACAGTTGTCAACATCTCTTATAAGATTTGTAGAACCTGTTGCAAGACGTCTCTCTCAAAGGCCGCGCCTGTGTGACACAAGGTTTGCCCATGCAATGTATGCATACCGCCATTTTTGGCCTATTTTGGTCTCAGAAATACTGATGCGGGTCAAAACCTCTCCCACCATACCAAGCCATGGGTTGACATCCTTATTTAAAAAACACAGAATTTGTTCATTTTCGGTGGTCAGCTAGCGTTACCCATATTTTTCGCGGCACAGCCATGTCGGACCATATGGGAGTATATGGATGCGCCCAAGCCAGTGTTGTTTTTGACCCGAAACCACCCACCTCTCGTCCGCTCTTTGCCCACACGACCATGTTGGACGTTCGAAGGTCTTATACCAAACTGCAAGAAACATCGCGTAGGACTTGATAGGTATAGTCTAGGTGATGGTTTCGGATATGTTTATTTTCAACCCTTACTTGGGGATGATTGGATCCTCTGACTCATGTTTTTCAAGCAGGTTGAAAACACCAACCAGTAGTGTATAGACTAAGAAAGAGTTGGAAGATCCACGTTCAGCACGTGGCTGGCTGAGGGACCGACCAATGGTTGCAAGCTGTGTCACTTTCCAAGCGGCACGGCCAACATGCGAAGCGCTGGAACACTTGAATACGGCAGTGGCTTCTTGGCAGAGAGTTATTAGATATGATATAATCTATATATGTCCGACATTGTATATGTTTCTAGAACAGACATTATATCATGAGTAGTGACATCATTGCCTCTATGAAAAGGTTTGGCAGTTGCAAACTTGATGGAAAGACACGCCTGCCCTTTCATGTTTCAGGCCACAAAGACAAGGTGGGCACGAAATCAGGAACCTGTGGCCAGCAGGATCCCCACATCGGCTGGCCTGGTGCAGGTAAAACCATGGGAGTCCCCCAAAACCTGGTCAACAGGACAGGTGAAGTCCAGCACCTGCTCCAAGCCGCCATGGTCCTCTTTGAGACCTTTTGAGTCCCATGGCCATCCACGAACAAATCCGGAAAACGATCCAACCACTGGTGCAGCGATACCCAAAAAAGAAACGTTTGACATCGTTGGACTCCGGCGTTCCATTCTCAGTTTTCGGGAGTGATCTGAACCCGAGGCCTGTCATTTGCAAAGGCGGAAGCTGGATTCGTCTCCCACGGCCGCGGACTCCTTCGATTGGCCGACGGACTCCTTCGAAGCGACCGTCGCCGCGAACTTGGACGTCGGGGGGAAGAAATGGGCGACCTCAATAGTCTAGTCTAGTCTGATGGCCTCCAACCTACTAGTCTAATGGCCAGTGATGGCCTCCAACCTACTAGTTTAATGGCCTCCAACCTACTAGTCTAATGGCCTCCAACCTACTAGTCTAATGGCCTCCAACCTACTAGTGATGGCCTCCAACCTACTAGTCTAATGGCCTCCAACCTACTAGTCTAATGGCCTCCAACCTACTAGTGATGGCCTCCAACATACTTGCGATGTGCAGTGGTTCCCATGTTCTTGACGGAGTGAACATCCTGTTGTCCAATGAAAAAGCAACTCTGAGATGAAACAGCGCAATCTTCAAGGATTTGAATTCATTCGACGCATTTTGTTTGCGTTTTTGATCATTTTTGCATTTTTGCAATGCATGTTCTGGGGATGTGTGCTTCTAGAACTTCTTTGTTGCTATTTGTTTCGCGTCGCTATGCTTTCCCTCAGCTGAATGTGCACACCATCCGAGCACGGATTTATTCACGACTGTGCACAATGCGATGTTGATGCGCAGAAGCCTTTCACTCGTTTTATACATGACGTGACGCGTTTGCTCCTTAATTCCTGATTCCTTCCAGCTACCATACAGGCTGATGCAACTAAACTGTGCATGGCACTTGGAAACAGCAGGGACCAAATGAAAACAGATTCTGGTGAACATGTTGGGATCTAGAATCTAAAAGGCATGAGATGGATGAGGCTGATGAAAGGAGGACACATGACAGTTCAAGTTTCGAGTGCTGAAACTGGTTCAACCGGCATGGTGTTTCCACCACGCTCGATGTATTGACCGTGAAAACCGCCCCCGCCCCCATGGCCCCCATGGTCCGGCTGACGCCCCCGACGGTGTCGGAATGTCTCGGTCAGGACAAGCTGCAGGCGCTGCAATTGACTCAGCTGTCCTTGGGTCGACAAAGGAGTGCCCAGGAGCTCGAGGTGGAGGGGGTGAGGTGGAGGGGGTGACACAGGGGGGAGAGGGCAGGTGATGTGTGACTGGGTCTCCTTCTAAGGGAGGCTTAGGGAGGCGTCGGGTCGGGGCAGTTGAAGATGAATGACTTGCATGTTTACAAGGCTTTGGAACTGTTTTTTTTGATTCTGAATTCTGAGAAGGGGGGGTGTTTAGAACTGATTCTTTCAAGAGGAATCGTGGACTCTCTGAGTCCTTTCGGTGGGCCATGGGTATGGGTTCCATGGGCTGGCGCGACCGTTGGTGGATGACGATCGTTGATCGAAGTGGCTTTCGCTGTAGTCCTAAGAGTTTATCCTCGAAGTGGGGTTGAACAAGGCCTTGGTCCTGGTTCTTCACACTCAGGGGGTTGATCTGGAACAGGCTGACTGAGTCGCCAGGGCCTCCAGGGGGTCGTGTCTTGATTCGGTGAAACAAGGGCTTAGTCGAGGCACCGTTGAAACCGTTCAGAGATTCTGACCCACCCAGACGCTGGGGTCCCGAATCCTTTGGAGGGGTCTGGGGTCTCAAATCCCTAGGGTTTTGAGGTACCAAGAGCTGTGAACGGAGCGTTTGGGCAGGTAAGATGTTTGATGTTTCGAGATTTGGGGATATTCTTGCGGGTTCGAGACGGCGCAGACCGGCGGCGAATGCGAACATGTCTTTTTTGTTCGAAGTGTGGTGTTGTATATGATGTAATCCTGGGTGATATATGATGCTATTCAACTAGCATGGAGCAGAAGAATAATGAGAAAGCTGTTATGCTGTTATGAAACATGAAACACGCATTGCTACAGTTCAGCTCTAAACTCCAATTTGTGGTAGCTGCGGCAAGCACTTATTTCTGCTGCCACGCTAACCGGCATGGTAGGCGATACTGATGGAGGAAAAGAATCCAGGCGAATCCGCCTGCGTGCAACCGGGTAACTACCATGCTGGAGATTTACTGTACTTCACCACGACTGTTGAAGCCACGCTTTGAGCCTGTGGGGGACCTCTGAAAAACATGAGGACTCACCTCAATCAGATCGTTGCTGTAGGCCCCTTCAAGTATGCCTATTGGAACGTGTTTCTCCTTGTACTTGGCGTGACCTTTGTGCGCGACAAGTGTAGCATATAACATCATTTTAACACTTTTAACAGGTTAAATCACAAAAACACGCACACATCATGCACACTCGAGAAATTGCATACTGACTCGACTCACAGTTTGCCACAAGCCTGCCTAAGTGATAAACCTAAGAATCCAGAAAGTATAAAGTAAATATAGCCTGAAAGAGGAAATGGAGTGGCATCCAACCAAATTCATCATTTCAAAAGGCAAATCTCGAAAAACCGCGACGAAGCGACGCCGAGTGCAGATCTGCAGACCTGAATCATCCTGCAACAGCCTGAAACCTCTACGAGTGGAGGTGGTTACAACGCTCACAACCATAGCAGGCACACGAATGGACGTCTCCATCCGCTTCCCCTCCAGCTATTTTAGCTTCGTTGGACAAGGTTCATCTGGAGGCCTTGCCCCCCTGCTGAAGAATCAACGGATTTCCGGTGGCTCCAAGGGTTTCACACACACACACACACTCATTAACTCGTTGGAACATGCTTATATATATATATATATCATCTTGGACTTTCTAAATGTGCACCTGCACTTGGCGGAATAGAGCGCAGTAAGGCTGCAGACATGTGATGATGGGGTCACACTTGGGATGCACCGCAATTGCAGCCAACACAAGTTTATGGCAACATTTGCATGAATATGGCGGAGACGCGTGGACTGGGAGTTGGTGCCAATTCACCTTACCGCTCCTTCAGCTTGACCAGACTGTTTTTGCGTGAGCCTAATCCTGGACGGAAAACCTGAAAAAGACATGTCCCCCACTGTATTTGTAGCGTTTGTAGTCCAGGTCGAGTTCTTTTTCTCGACGCTCGACCCCAGTCATTTCTCGACGTTTGACCACTGGACGGACTGGACGGGCAATTTTTCTGACAAAAATTAGGCTTGCTAGTCAGGCATGGCAGTCTTTCCCTGACCCGGCTGGGACTGGGGCAAGGGACTAATCGGGCGGAACCGGCCTCATCAGGCTTGGAGCGGGACAACTCAAAGAACCTACGGCACCAGGACGTTGGTCCGCGGTCGCGGGGAGGGAGTTGAATGGGCTGGGCCGTGGGCAAATTGGATCGTGCCAGTCCGTGAAAGGGAGCCCGAACAGTTGTTTTGATTCTCTTTTGGACACGAGGACGTGCTGTTGATAGAGGGTTGGCATAGTTATGTGGATCAACATCAGGCTTTGTCAGGCCACTTCTAATATACTTGATTTGATAGTTATAGATGGATAAGATAGATAACATAGATAACATAAATATGTAGCTCAGTATGTAGATCCTAGTGGTCACAGCTGGTGCCGGGGATAAGGCTGACTTCATCATGATATTTGCATGCAAATGATCCAGCCTGCATGTGTGAAAAAATTGTTTTTTGAGCTTAGTTGTTTTTGTTACCCAGAGAAACAACAGTAACAATAATTGATTAAGGAGCTATAAAAAGGAAAGAAATCAAAGTCGTACAATCCGTTTGTTGTTTTAAGGTTGTTTGTTCGATCTCAACCATGCTTTGACTATCCCACTGGGAAAGTCAGATAAAGTTGAACATGCAAGAGAAATATTTTCGTAGAGAAGGTTCATACCCCTCCATCCAACAAACATGGATTCTGGATGAAGTGGACCATGGCTCCAAAAAAACATGAAGAGCGTCTTTCTAGAGGCCATGCTTTACCAAAAACCCTTTTCTCGATGAGTTCGTTCATGGTCCATTTGATCGAAGAGAAAACCACGTGAAATTCTTCCCTGAAAGAACCCACGGTGGAAGTGGAGTGAGTAAAAACCACTGGTCTTTGTTTTTTTGGAATCATTGTGATCCGATCTTTCATGGCCATGCCATATCAAGCCATCCATGTAGCATCATCTAGCCACGATGGTTTCAGGGAGTGTACCAAATGCTTTTGAACCACGGCTTTTCCCACTCGCTTTGTTGCTGACCAAAGCCGCCTTCGCCTCAACTGAGCAAAGCAACGCCTCCTGCAAAAACAAAAAGGAAATGCCTAGGAATGGATCAAATTATAGGGCCTCAGGTTTCTGCCTGTCAACATGTTGCAAATCTCTGAAGGATTTCAAGCTTTTTCAACAGGCGGTATCTTAAAACATCTTAAAGCGCTGGTTCGCTGCGGCGACATTGCACTTTTGTGCAGATGATGAGATGATGTGCTAATGGTTTGCGCAGAAAGGCTTCTTCAAGATGTTGTCCATCAAGATAAGTTTTGCCACAACACATGTCCCGCCAATCTGATCAACTTGCGGGTCTCCCAAGTCACGAAAAAGGCAAATCTACCAAATGATTTGGCAAGGGAAAGAGCTTGCAATTACTGATCTCATGTTGGATGAAATGCACTGCACTCCGAGTCGCTATCATGGAAGTGGACCACCACCTGTTTGTAATGCATGAGCATCCAAGCGATTCCATGTGCCACATCATCCATGTTCTACTTCCATGATTTCATGGTAGGTACCTGGAAACCATGTTCGGGCCCCATGTTTGGTCAATCTCTCCGAACGACCAAGCTGCCAGCATCAAACCGACAACCGATGTTCTTAGCCTTTTTGGACGGGCCCGTTCATGAGTTCGAATCTATATATGTATATTATATATTCAATCTATATATTCAGATCTATTCAGTATGTTGCGAGAAGTTGCCAGCATTATCTTAATCCCAGTCTCTGAATATATCTGAATATAATGCTCACTATTCTGTTGGAGGGTCTTGTAGGGTCTATAGCCATGGAAATCAACCCGGTACAGACAACGTGTCTTAGATGCGCTGGGTATGTTGACCTTTTTCACCAAGAGATGGTCATTGATTTTGTTCGAAGGGGACCATTTGTGCAAACAGATATGTCGGTCTATAGGATGTTACGACCAGTGGTAGGAGAAAACAAATTCCGAGAGTAAGGACTCTTCTGAGTTGGTTGTGACGTTGTGGCAGTTTGCTGTTGAAATGTCATTTGGATGTCCGTCTTGTTCGTGTTGTCTTCGACTTCAGCTCAGCTGGATGCTTTCGTTCGGCCCTCGGTCGCAGGATGACCGGCCTCAATTCCTCTTCGAGGTAGATGACGAGGCGCCAAGCCCCTGAGAATTGACCGGTGGAAGGTCATTTTTCCTGGAACCCCTATTTTTATGTGACTTTTTCAGGTGTTTTTTCCGGATTGTTGTTTCGCATTTTTTCCCCTACTGCTTTTGCTTTTGTTTTTTGTTTTTTGCTTCTGCTTCTGCTTTTGCTTCTGCTTTTGCTTTTGGCTTTTGCTTCTGCATTTGCTTTTGCTTTTTGCTTTTGCTTTAATTTTCCTTTTGCTGTTTGCTTCTGCCTTTGCTTTTGCTTCTGCGTTTGCTTCTGCTGACTATCTTCTTTGCAGTGACACTGCCACAAAGTTGGATGATAAGACCTTCACCTTGAGCTTTGACACCCAATTACACCAATCAAGAAACGAAGCAGCCCAGCGCTATCTATATTTGATTTGCATTGCGGGGGAGGCGCTGCGCCCTCCGCCGCACCCCCTCCCACTTTCTTTTATAGTTCCCACTACCGTCCACCACCCCTACTATTTCCAATACCTCTATCACTCGGCCACCCCGCTACGAGTCTTACCACAGTTACCACAACTACTATTTTCTTTGCGTTGACACTGCCACAAAGGTAGATTTCTACTTTGCTTAGCCCAAGGAAACCCGAAACCACTGAAACCCAAAGACAACCGCAGAGAAGTCCCTATTATAGTTCCTCTCTCCTCTTTCCTCACTCCTGCTTCTCCTTCGTCAAGTGGGATGCCTTTTCCGGACGAACGCCTAAAGAAACCCTAAAGACAAGAAACCGAGCCCAAAGAAACCCGAAACCAGTGAAGCTAAAGACAACGGCAAAGAAGTCCCTAGTAAGTGGAATACCTTTTCTGTTCCCTCCCTTTGTCACTGCTTCGTCCCCTGCCCTTTCTGCTGCTCCTAGTGCTTGTAAAGCACTCCCAGCAGAAGCAAAAGCAAAAACAGTAGGGTAAAAAACGTGAAAAAAAATCCGGAAAATTACCTGAAAAAAAACATTCCCGGACAACATATCCATCCATTTTTCCTCTACAATCCAGTGGTTTTGGGGTTCCAAGGCTACTCCTCTGCAGGGGAGTAGTGCTTGGCATGCAATTGCATTTCCATGTGCAGAGAATTTTGATGGCAATGCTGGTGCTTGGCTCCACCGCTGGTGATTGGCTCCAGGGGAAGATGGCCAAGTAGAAAAGGCACTAACAAACAACCATGGCCTCCATAGACTCTCCACGACTTTTTCCTACACATATGATTTCTATCATGTACTATCATGTGCTATAGGACCTGTAGGTTGCACAAGGCCAGAAAACGCTTGATGTCTTTCATTTTTTATTTTAAAGAATGCGGAAATTGCTGACCCTTGGCCTGTGCTGCTTGCTTGCCGCCAGCTGGTGGGAACATTCCCCGGCAATGGCACTGAGACGAGTTTTGGTCAGCTGCACAAAACCTGTGACGTTATGTAAAAGGTTTCATCTTCCTGGTGTCAAATCCACAATTCCGACGTTTCCCAAGTGTTTTGGGGTGGTTGCTAGGTGTCCAAACAGCCATATCCAAGGTCACAGGTGGCAATAAGGGCATTGGCCGTGCACTTTGCCAACAGCTGGCGGCAGACCATGGATTTTACGTTTTCCTGGGAAGTCGAGATGCGCAGAGGGGAAAGGAGGCAGTGGAGAGCATTTTGCTGAAAAGCCCTGAGTGTGCTTTGGCTCAGGGCATTTGGGAGGCAGACATCCTTCAAGCATTCTTGCCAACAAACCGAACCTGATATTCCAAGGGTAGTTCCAGGGGTCTATGATTATAAGTATTGAAATGGGATGCTGATCCACTGGCAGTAGGAGGATTCCGGGCTTGCGAGCCGACATGCGTCTACATGCACATGTTGGATGGTGGGCATCAGTAGGGTGAGGTCTGGGGTGATCTCAGATATGCCCATAGACATGTTTGGAGATGTTTCGTTTGGAAGACGCCCATACGATTCCCCAGACAACTCCTTCTTTCCACACGTGTGGGAGACCACGGAGCGCGTTCTCACCAGCTCTGACGACCGGCTTCATGTAGCGTCCTTGTTACTAGTAGCAATGCCCTTGTTCCTAGTAACTTCTTGTTCCTAGTAGAATACGCATTACGGCCAGGAGGCTACGTTCGCGGCGTCCGATCGCTCCTAGTAGCAATGCCAGGAGCCCCTAGTAGCGTCCGATCGCTCCTAGTAGCGATGCCTGTCTTGCTCCGTTCGTAGCTTTTGGTTGGAAGATTCGAGTGCCTTGGGGTTCCGAGCGAGGCCAAGATCGCCTGCAGTTCCTTCCCCTGGATGTGGCCTCGGACACGTCGGTGGCGAAAGCTGCCGAGATGCTGCGAGAACAGTGCCGAGGTGATACGAGCTTGTGACAGTGGATTTGTATTAAAAGTCCTGCTAGTGGTAATATGATAAGAATATTCGCGATATTTACTGTGAATAGAGATGAGGTCCCAGTACAATTGCAACATGGACACTTGCCATAAACATTTGGCTCAAGTGCCCAACCAGGCGAAAAGGAGCTATTGCGCGCGAGCTTCATGTCGAACTAAGGGCTTGAACGGGGCCAGGGCACGCTTTCCATCCGTTCGCAGGTTATCAGCCGTATCCAGACTCCTTTGAGCTGGGTACGAGCTACGGCCTTACACAACACCATCTAAACGCACACGCATCGGATAGATCAGTTACCCTCAGTCACTGAAGATGGACCAATCCGACGCCAGCACTGCATCCTTTGGAGCAGCCGCTGCGGCAGCAGATCGGGTGAGTGCATCCCATAACTCTAGTCCAGGTACGATCGAAGCGGAGACTCTGACAGTGGTGAGAGAAGTTGCGACAGGTAGAGCACGAAGTCGTTCCCCGTCAGCGCACTCGACACCACCGGGGGGGACACCGAGATCGGGCCGTAGCCCTAGGGAGACAAGGAGGAGAACTGACACCGGAGCTGTGAGAGTGCTAGCATTGGAGGATGGGTCAACTGTACCAGTGCCATCGGACAGCGAAGCTGGAGATGGAGCAAGGGCAAGCACCGACAACCTACAACTAGCACGGGCCGATGGAGACCTCAATGCGAAGTGTGCACAACTACTTGCCGAAGTGCATATGTTGAACCACCAAAACGCATGGATGGTCGAATGTGAGCAGAGACAGAACCAGATTATACAACACGAGACCGAAGTCCACGAAGTAGTGATGACACACCTCGAAGAATGTTATGTCGAAGGATATGGAAATCAACGAAGAATCTCCCAACTTACAGAATCTAGAGACTGTTTGCTCTCAGCAGCACACGATTTGCAATACCAGATTGACACTGATCGTGTGGCAATGCGGGATCGTCTCACCCAGTTAGGAGAGTACGCTGATCGCAACAGCGCAGAGATGGTTAGTCAAGTTGTGAACATCGGCACGGAAGAGATCCAGGCTATATCGGCGGAAAGAGATCGAGCCGTAACCGAACTCATGACTGCAGTCGCAGATGCTGAGAACATTAGGGATCTGTATAGGCAGGAGATAGTTGGACTACAAAGGCGGAGTGTCAGGAACAAACACGAATATGCCGAGGAGATGAAGATGAAGGAAGCAATGTATACAAGCAAGATCAAATGGTTATCAGAAGAGAATGAGGAGCTCAACAACCGATCTTATAACCAGGACAATTTCATCATGACCATCAGAGAGCAATTGAAGAGGGCGAATGAAGAGGTGGCACAGGCGAGGATTCAAGGATCCGGTCGACCGTCTCAAACATCCAACGCCGAACTCAAGAAAGCCGAGGTCAAGATGAACATGTTGGAGGAGGACATCCTACGTAAAGAGAGGATGTTGAAACGTCTCCAGGAAGAATTGATCGAATCAAGTGCAAGTGAAGCACAACTGAAGGTCGCACTGGAGTTGAAACCACAAGACATGGGATCAGGATGCAATGTGGAGAACGAGATGATGACCAAGCTTAGAGCGGAACTTGGACGTACCGAAAAGTCATTAAGGTCCGAGGAGAAAGAGGCGATGGAATATTACGAAGGTATGATGCAGAACCAGCAGGACATGATGGAATTCGAAGCGCATGCAGCACGGCTCAGAGATGAGAGGAATAAGTACCGGAGGAGATACGAAGAGGAGCGCTCGAACGCTGAGAATGCAGCCGCAACCGAGTATGGTGCCGCTTCATCCTCTAGCTCGGGTGGCTCCAAGATATCTCGGAAGGAACATGAGAAGATCAACATCCCTGCATGGCCCAAGATACACGACTTGGAGGTTTGGAAATCCCAAGTTGTAGCGGCAGTCGTGACGGCATCGGGCGACGAAAGACAAGAAGATTGGATCCAGTGGCTCTCGGATGCCTTCAAATCACCATATGATCCATTTCTGCTCGAGACATCGGGCGAAGCAAGATTCGCTAGCATAGATGCTAAGCTAGGCATCACCCTACACGCGATTATCCACGCAGCAGGTGAGAGATCTCATGACGTACAACTGAAGGTGAGGCAGATGATGCGGAGACGTGCGAGAGGCACAACCCCGGGAGTGGTTAAGGGACGAGAAATGTTAGCGTTGATCGTCGATAGCTTCCGGAGTGCCGACAACGTCGATGTGATGTATGCATCTAAACACTTATTCGATCTAAAGTTCCCTGGAGATAATCAACTATCCAGATTCCTTGGACAGTGGGATGAGATCATATCAGGTATGGACGCGGATGACATGCTTCCTGACAAAGCACTCCGCAACCTGCTTTGGGACAAGATTAAAGATTCCAAAGTTATGGCGTTAGACTTGTCCGTGTACGACAACATGTTGGATAAGGATCCGGATAAGACCTATCAGAAGTTGCGGGAGTTTATGGCGAAGTGGATACGGAAATCAATCGAGACCACAAATAAGAAAGAAAGGGAAAAAGCTTTTGGGAACCTCATGAAGGCTACACCAGCGGAGAAGAAGGACCCTAAAGCGAAGCCCAAGAATACCAAGGCCGATCCACCGAAGGACGCCGCTCCAGTACTTCCTCAGAATAATCCGAAGGATCACCAAAAGAAGGACAAGAAGCAGGATCGTGGAAGGTCAACCACGAAGAGCCCGAAAGGGGACCGTGGCAGGTCAGCGACTCCGGCAGACACGTCCAAGATAGGATGCGCCTTCCACTTCTATGGGAAAAACGGATGCTCTAGAGGAGACAAATGCAAGTTTAGTCATCAAGAGAAGCACAAGAGTTCTGCTAAGAAACCAGAAAGCCTCAAGGGTGACAGATCAAAGAGTCCTGGTGGCAGGAGCACTAGCCCCAAGCCAATGCAGGATCAGGTCTGTTGGAATTGGCAGAAAGGATCGTGCAAGTTCGGGGACAAATGTCGTCGCCAGCATCACGCTGTTCCTGCTACAAAACAAGAGGCTAAAGGCAAAACCAAGCCCAAACCGGCTGCGCCAGCCTTCATGCTTTGCGGAGACATCGAGAGTGATGGCGAGGACGCGCAACCCGCACTTCCCAATGTACAACAAGGTAAGCTGGAGCTTCGCTTTAAAGTCAGGTTCGATGACCGGGCGGATGTGACCACGTTTACCTGCGATCCTGGTAACGAGCTAAATATCCGTCCCCTCAAGAAGAAGAAGGACGAGGTGCAGAAGGTGGATACCGAGATCATTTCGTCGTTGAGAACCCTCAGAGTGAACAGTATAGCTGCACGAGTAGCGCATGCCAAAGGCAAGATGATGGAGCTATACTCTGCTGAACACATTACCAAGGCATGGATACAAATCACTCAAGATGAAGGAATCGAGGTGAACGTCGACCTGTCTGACTTTAACACCAGCGAGGTAGTAAGGAAAGATTCTGTCAACTACACGATACCGGGAGATACGATGTTCATGGCCGTGGAGAGGTATGATGGACCACCGATACGCTTCATCATGGACACGGGATGTGGGCACGACTTGATATCAAGAGAGAAAGTCAACGCCATGTGCCTTACCATCAAGGAAGGACCCAAATCCGTGAGCTTCATGACAGCGAATGGAGTAACTAGTACATCGGAGATGGTGGACATCAATGTGGACGAACTACCCATGATGTCCGAGGCACACGTGTTGGAGAGCACACCATCAGTTTTCTCCATTGGGAAACGGTGCATGGAACAAGGGTATTCATTCATATGGCCTGCAAATCAGTTGCCATACCTCATCGACCAGAACGCGAACAAGATCCCGCTATCGGTGCATGACAACATACCCTACATCAAAGTGAATGATGATGACGGGAGATGTTTACCAAGATCAGACGACCTGGCCACGATACTTCATCGCATATTGTTAGGTGTGGAGTTTGAAGACGAGGCCACAGCAGGTCAGGAGACACAACAAGAGGAACCTCCGCCTAAGAAACCTCGAAGACGGAGGAGAAAGAAGAGAGATAACCAGAAAGATCGGGGTGATGAATCCGATATCAATCCAGCCGTTGTAGGCGACGAAGGAGAACCAGAGGAACACGGTGATGGCGGATATTCTCCTGAAGGGGGACATGATGGGGAAGACCCGGGAATCAATCGTGACCTCGATGGCCAACCTGAAGAAGCCGAAGACGACGAACATGGAGGTGATGCGGATTCTGAACGAGAGGAGAGTGACATTGGTGAAGACGAAGAGGGGTTATTGGAAGTCGATGTGGTTGACGGGGAAGCCAGAATGTCAAAACCAGGAGTGCTGAAGAATGAGGCGAGATCCATATTACACCTGATGACGCACCGATATAAGAACCCATACTGCAAGTCATGCGTGAGAGCAAAGATGAAGCACTACAAGACTAGCAAGGGAGCTTTCAAACGGAAATTGAAGGCATTTGGTGACCTTATCACCTTTGACCTCATGAACACCCAGAAGATGGCGAGAGATGGGATCATGCCGGATAAAGATGTATTGGTGATCCGAGATCGGTTTACTGGTGTGATATGGGGCTATCCATTGAAAGCAAGCAATAGTGACGAAGTAGTGCAGGCGATGAAGCACTATATCGGTAAGAGAAAGGTCACCAACGCTTACTCTGATGATGCGCCGCAATTTGAAGTAGCACTCAAGGAACTCCGGATTCCACTAGACCAGTCACTTCCAGGACATCCCCAGAACAATTCACTCGCTGAAAGAAACAATCAGTTTATGATGCTTACCACATCGACATGTCTACTAGAAGCCGGACTACCACCATGTTTTTGGCCATTTGCAGTGGAATGCGTAAGCCATTTGTTGAACATCGAGAAGCTGAGCGATGGCAGCAGTGCATGGTTGAAGCTGCACAAGAGCGAATTCCCAGGCATGGTGATACCACTCGGGGCGAAGGTGTTCTTCAAACCTAGTGACGCGAGA